GAGTTATTAATTAAAGTAAAGCTGAACTGTATTTGAAATAAATTGTCTAATTATTGATAAATAAAAGAATTCATGGTTGCCGTCAATTTCTGGACAACTTTTCCGGCCTAAAATATAATCTTACCAGAAGGGCTTCCATCATTTTTTGCACAAGCAAATAATCACTGAGTTCTCTGCAAATAACTGCAATGCAAAAATAAATGCAAATGTAAAGGGTTAGAATTTTGTGGCCTGCAGTTTTTAAGCCATAGCAACCCACTTTGGTCTTCGTTTGGACAGTCTATTCACTCGTCTTCTGGTCAGAATGACACTTTGTTTCTCCAGAGATGGTTCAATGAGCTAGCTAGTAGGAATTGGCATTTTAAGGAAAAAAAAAAAAGAGAAAAAAAAAACACCTTTTGAATTTGCCAGTAATTAGATTTTTTTGGCAAATATCCAACTTGCAGCAGTTCATGCTTCTCACAAACACATGCTTATTCCGTCCTTTATTCGTGTAGTACTAATTAATTGAGCACAGGTCTCAGCAAACTGTTTGAAAGCTGTCTTAATGAGCACAGAGCTCATATGGTTATGATTAAGGGATTGTTGCCTGTTTCATGTTTTTTGGTTAAAAACATGATCATAGCCACGTGATTTACTCAGCCCAGGTTCTGTAGTTGGACAGACCCTTTAATGGAACGAAAGCTTCAAGTACAGATATGTGTGCTGCTGAGGACATTTTTATTCCTTCATTTTTAGTGGTCTAGTGGATCGACGGGGCGGTGTGAACAGTTTCCACTTTGTCATCCTTTCAAAAACTAGACACCGCATAGCGGTAACAATGACCCCCACACGCACAAATGCACCGGAACTCAGAAGTCTTTATTCCTAACAAATGTCATGCTACTAGGTGCATCCCAAAATTGTAGTGGTTTGGGTGGGGGGGTCTTTTTTGCGGGGGGGGTTGGACCTGATGGATAGCCCCTCTTCAGAGCTAAACAACCAAAGAAAATCTGAAGCTCCTATGTTTAATAGTTTGAGCTATAACCATACCCCTTTTTCAGAAAAATTGGGGGTCCGGGGGGTGGGGAGCACTGATTGGTGGGCCCGATGGATAGAGCTTCATCAGAGCTAAACAACAAAAGAAATCTGAAGCTTCTATGTTGAACAGTTTCTGAGTTATAAGCAATTTTGCATGTCTTGACACCCCCATTTTGAAAGGAGCCCCCTCCTTAAATATGGGGTCTATCATAAAACCGTTGACGGCGCAGTGTAGGTCAGACCCCGGCAAATTTCATTGTTGATCGGTGCAGCCGTTTCTGTGGTACGGTTGACCAAAAATCACCGGAAAAAAAATAAAAACAGTACGAAAACAATAYGACTTACACTTCGYGTGCGGATGTCATAATTATAKTGTTGTGATTCACATTAATTCTTTAAATATGACCATTTAAACTAAATGTCAAAAGGTGATAATCACTGCCCATCGCTCTAGAACAGGAAGGTTTATTCTTTAACTTTTTCACAGAACCTCATTTCAAAGGATCTATATAATCATTAACTTCTTTATCATTTTATTTATTAGTCAAAACTGTCTCACATATGCTGAAACACACTCCGGTTTTATGCTTGCGATAAATGAGAACATTTCCTGTTGACCAGGAAATAAACTTTGCAGCAACAGTGTTTCCACCAAGCTAATCTTTATACTCAGACCTCTACATGTCTATCGCAGAGAAAAATAGAGTAGATCCAAAMAGCAAAACTGGGATCCACTGCACTGAGCGGCTGCATGTTGTACCTGTAAAGGTGAACGTCCTCAAACGATTTGGTGTTGTTGATAGCAAACACACAGAGGAAGCCCTCCCCTGTCCTCATATACTGGTCCCTCATGGCGCTGTACTCCTCCTGACCTGCAGTGTCCAGGATGTCCAGCAGGCACGTCTCTCCATCGATCACCACCTGTTTTCTGTACGAGTCCTGCCAGCACAACAACCAAGACCATCAAACAGTCTGTGACCAACAACTGAACATGAACCAACCGGATCACCCCACCTACGTAGGGTCTAAACTATGAGCTACCACTTTATAATTTATCTACTCTTAAAGAAGTAAAATAAACTAATCTGGTGATTAATTTATAATCCAATGCTTAGAAGCTGCAGATTAGAAAAAGACAAAAGTAAGCCTACATTTATTTGATCTGTACTCTTCAGTTGTACCATTTACTTTGTTTACGCTCTTCTTCACTAGCTTTCTAACAATAAACATTTGTCAAGAACACCTTTGATRAATTACACGTTTAAGATGGTCAAACAAGTAGGCTGAGCAACCTTTATGTTATTGGGATAAATAGAAAGTAAAACGATCTTGTCAAATATTGAACATGCATCAGTGATTCATGAGTGGCTCATAATTCTACTAAATAACTAACAGCCTAATTAGGAGGCGTACATAATGACACTTTGCACGAGTAGTCACGCTCTTCAGAAGGCGGCCTAAAACAACCTACAGTATGTCAACTCCTGTCCAGCTAGTCAAAAGACAGACAGTTGGTAGCCTAGCATCGAATTTATTTAGTCAATTTATAGGTAAAAATTTTTAGATTTTACCCGTGTCTTAAACCTAAAAAAATATGTAATTTTTTACAAAAAATCCATATTATACACCATTTTAATGTATACCTTTGGATAAGGACAGAAGACGGTGATTGATAGCAGCCATCAAACGTAAGGAATGGCAGCCCTCTGAGTAGGCACTGATTTGCAATGAAAACTTTTTACAAGGTAATAAGATTAATGTTCATATATTTCATTATAGTGCTGGACAATAATTCCATGTCAGGGTAGAAAATGTTTAGATAACGATATTACTGAATTTAATCGATAGACTTCAGGGGTGGGCAATCCTGGTCCTCGAGGGCCGCARCCCTACATGTTTTATGTTTTTTCTGGCTCCAACACACCTGATTCAGACATTGATTTACCTTCTAAGTTCTGCAGTATGGAGGCCCGACACTGACATAATTATAAATAAAAGCAGAAATATATAAATGAACCACTACATAAATAAATACACTTAAAATGCACAAATTCAATCAAAAAAGAACTTCACCTCATGTTTTGTAATTTAATTCTCGTTTAATTGATTTTTTTTAACAATTCAAATTTGACTGTTTTTTAAAATATATATTTTTCAGTTTTCCCTTTTACTTGTACGGACATTTGTCTCTTAAATGTTTAAATTGAAATATTTTATAGTTTTGTCCCACAAGTCTTTTT